ACAATGAAATATGAGATATGTTCATTGCTTGTGAAAGTTTAGATCCTTCACTTTCCTAGGCTAAGCTGAGAAGTTTATAATCTTCACATGTTAGTTATTTTTGTCAAAAAATATATAACAATCAATAAAAAATATACACACAAAAAACAAGGATTTGTAGTAATCACTACAAACTTGAGCTCATTTACATTCGAGCAAAAATCTAAGCCATTCTTCTGTAAGCCTCTTTGATTCTCAAAATGTACGTGTCTAAAAAGAATTTATGTAGCTTTCAATTATATGTTTTACAACTCAAAAATATATCATTCATTAGAATACAATATCCCAAAACTACTATAACTGATCTAAGTTATAAATAAGTCAAAACAATTCTGTTAGCACAACAATGATCATGGACATTTTAATGACTGAATAATCTAGGCAGGAAAACTGAGACAACATATGGATTCGTGTAGAGGAGAATGTGCTCTTTCTATTTATTACAAGCATGTCCATCAGCCTTGTAAAGGTGATCAACAAAACAATCTTGAAAGTTAGAAAGAAGGGAAAACTTCTCTGATGGATTTGATAAATTTATTGGTATCTTAACAAATCAAGAATGTAGAAGGTAAACGTTTTAGATTCTTGCTCGTAATTATGTTGGTTGGAAACTGTTGCAGCCTATTTTTAAAATTAGAAACTTCTGAAGTGGAGAAGCATCACCGACACAGAAGAATAGAAATGGAGGATTTTTTAAATGTTTCTTTTTGAAATTAAGAAGTTAAGACTTAAACAATATTAAGATGCAAATTATAAACTATATTTTCATGCAAAGTTTATTGATACATTGGTAAATTGTAATTAGATTTTGAAGGTAACGCTGTAAAAGGTCATGACTTGCACAGTTCAACCCAGCCAGAGTAAAATGAATAATATTTTTATCAACATATGCTATTTTTCTTGTTGGCAAATTTTCAATACATTTAGGAGGTATTTTTCATAAGGATATTTTATTTTAATATTTCACGTAAATCAGAAACTTTATTTTAAAACTACACAAATTTCTGCAAAACATTTGGAAAAATACTTCTTGTGAAAAACTGAAACTTTGGGTATTTTATGCATATTTTTCAAGCTTTTTAAACTATTTCCATCTAATGTCTACAATTAAGTCACACAGAATTCTAAGAAATTTATGCATGAAACATTTTCTTTATTTCAACCTGACTATGCATCATACAAGAATATCAAACCTAACTTTTTCAGTAATTCGTAACACCTTTAAAAACTTAAAAAGTTGTGTGTTATATTGGAAACACCATAATTTTGCCCTGTTGGAAACAATGTACTCTGAAACAACACTGCCCTCTCCACTGTTTGTCTTTTACTTTGCCCCCTGTTTCCCCTTTCATAATGTCCATGTGCTGTGCAACATTTTGTCAGTATACTGAACTGCAAGTGTCAAAATACTGTATGATGTTTGCTTAAATTGTTCATATTAAGGTAAATTATTTTCTTTTACCCCTTGGCAGTTATAAGCTACTGCATCACAGAGCATTTTGTGTTAAGAAGCTTTACTTTAAGGCACGAGACAGATGACCTGTTTTATCCCAATGCATGACCCATGCATTCTTCTGCAAAGCATCCACATACACTACGTTGGTCTGATTCCACCATTGAGTTTTGTGGATTTGGCAAGAAAACATGGAGGGTAGAGTGAAACAGGCTATGTCAAAATAAGCTATTGAAAGCTGCTCTCATATTGTTGTGCTACTATAGAGTAACAGCCAGTTTTCACTGGATGCTCTCAACTACAAGCTATTCTCCAGTAAGAAGAGATGGAAACGTTGTACATTTGCTGTTGTGTTAAACTTGTATTAAAGTTTTTCTTCATTACCCATTCAAGCAACAAGGTTTTGTCATCATCAGGTACCTTTTTGCCTGGTAGAAATCCTGGCTGGTAGCCTATCTATAATGACTATAACTGTGGTTGTGATGCCCAAAAATATTATGTAGCCACTTACTTGTGTAATTTGCACAACTGTTTAATTAGCAATGGTTGTAATTGTGGTTGTTATGCCAAAAATATTATGTAGCCACTTACTTGTGTAATTTGCACAACTGTTTTATTAGCAAGATAAGAAGATTAATTAATATATATAATATTATGCATCTCCCACTTACATAGCTCCCATTTCACTACTTTGAACATTATAGTAATCTCGTCATATTAAGTCATTTTGGTCATGTAAATAAATAAGACAAATTCATGATTTTGAAGTTATTTTAATAATCATTTTAAGGCTACTTTGAATGTACTTTAACTCAGTGATAGAATTTTCCTTATAAAACCTTGAATTGCATAAAACACTTTCAAAGTTCAGTGTTTTATGATAAAATTAATAACAGTTTGCCTATCTATAATTTTTACACATCTTTATTTTTTATGCTTGTTGTTTAACTCCTTCAGCACGGGCTCAGTCCATGGTACTGACCTCGTAACCATTTTGTGCATGTTATAGTTTTTATGCTATAACTTTTAAATTATTAAGCGAATGTTAATGAAATTTGGCAGATTATCAGTACACATTACAATGCTCTCATATGAAAAAATACCAATTTTTTTAATTAAGTCTTAAGGATTGTAAAGCAATGTTTTTCTCATGTCTTTTTTTTCTTTTCGCATGTTTCCTATCTATCAAGCAAAGTAATATTCATTCTAAGATTAAAAATACTTTTATGCATTAGAAAATTTTCAAATTTCATATAATCTTCATATATATCTTTATAATGTCCAGATAGGTATCAAACATTTCTTAAGAACAAATTTTATATTTTATGTATTATTTTCAGTAATTAATCTCTTTACGGATTCGGTTAGTTTGACCAATATTAACAAACACCATAACGAATTAGAAATAAATATAAATTAGGCCTTTTTCATTCTAGAATGAACACAAATTATAACATAAAACATAAATGTTTAGAGTAAATAGCATAAATCTCATAGCATTATACATTTATATATGTTTATTATTTTTATTATACTGACCTTTCAACTGTGATTTGCTAACAATACAGAAATTACAATGACGCAGCTCACGTGCACTCATGTTACCGTATCAAATAACATAAAACTGACCTTTGGTCCATACAAAGTAACTTGTTTTGGCTGTGTTTTAGTAGACTAGTATTTTGTAAAATACAGTCACATTTAAATTATTATACATTATATATGTATAGAGATTATTGGTATTTTGAAATAAGTTTTTAAACTTACATTTCTTAAAACATAGAAAAGTAACTAAAGAAGTAAAGCAAAGAATTCTCTTCTAGTTACGACCTTGTACTCAGTTGCTGCATGACAGGTTGCTAAGCCTTTAAAAAATTTGCACGTGGGGGATATGAAGCAAAATTTTTTAAGGTTTTATATATACATTTGAATAACTAAAAAAATCATAAATTACTACATTAATATTATAGAATTCTACTATAATTTATTAAGTTTAGTAATTAAGATGTATTTTAGTTTAAAAAATAAGAAATTTCAAGCAGACTAAAGACACACCCTACCTCATTGAAATATTGGTTCAAAAGAAAGAAATGGTGCCAAGCCTGTTAAAATGGCTGAAAAAGCCACTAGGGGGACATTCTGAGCTTCCGAATTGGTTATTCATGTCATATATAGATGTAAGTGTATATAAGGGAGCATTTCCAAAACTGGAAAGAGGTAGGCAGGGTGCCATTGTGTTTGATTTATTACATGATCAATATATTAGCAAATTGAAAAGATAAGAGGCTCTTATTTTATATTCTAGCTTGTCAATATTGGTAATTTGAGTTTATAGTTGCTACAAAACTATAGAGTTAGTATTTTAACTTCACAAACATCTGAGTTGAACCAGTGCTGCATTCAATATACCACATGGCACACAAAAATCGATGTTTATCTGTGTTTTTAATATTTGTTTTTAAATTAAGAAATTTAGTAATATATAGTACTAAATTTGAATTATAATCTACAGT